AGAGAGTTCATGGACAGCCTCCTTGGCCATGACAGGACAGAGAGAGAGTTCATGGACGGCCTCCTTGGCCGTAACAAGACAGACAGAGAGTTCACGGACAGCCTCTTTGGCTGTGACAGGACAGACAGAGAGTTCATGGACAGCGTCCTTGGCCGTGACAGGACAGACAGAGAGTTCATGGACGGCCTCCTTGGTCGTAACAAGGAAGACAAAGAGTTCATGGACGGCCTCCTTGGCCATAACAAAACAGACAGAGAGTTCATGGACGGCCTCCTTGGCCGTAACAAGGCAGACAGAGAGTTAATTTATGGCCTCATTGGCCGTGACAGGACAGACAGAGAGTTCATGGACGGCCTCCTTGGCCGTGACAGGACAGACAGAGAGTTCATGGACGGCCTCCTTGGCCATGAAAAGGCAGACAGAGGGTTCATGGATGGCCTCCTTGGCCGTGCCAGGACAGACAGAGTGTTCATGGATGGCCTCCTTGGCCATAACAAGGCAGACAGAGGGTTCATGGACGGCCTCTTTGGCCGTGACAGGACAGACTGGGAGTTCACTGATGGCCTCCTTGGCTGTAACAAGACAGACAGAGAGTTCATGGACGGCCTCCTTGGTCGTAACAAGGAAGACAAAGAGTTCAGTTCATGGATGGCCTCCTTGGCCACAACAAGGCAGACAGAGGGTTCATGGACGGCCTCCTTGGCCGTGACAGGACAGACTGTGAGTTCATTGATGGCCTCCTTGGCCGTAACAAGACAGACAGAGGGTTCATGGACGGCCTCCTTGGCCGTGCCTAGACAGACAGAGAGTTCATGGATGGCCTCCTTGGCCATAACAAGGCAGACAGAGGGTTCATGGACGGCTTTCTTGGCCGTGACAGGACAGACTGTGAGTTCACTGATGGCCTTCTTGGCCATAACAAGGCAGACAGAGGGTTCATGGACGGCCTTCTTGGCCGTGACAGGACAGACTGTGAGTTCACTGATGACCTCCTTGGCCATAACAAGACAGAGGGTTCATGGACGGCCTCCTTGGCCATGACAGGACAGACTGTGAGTTCACTGATGACCTCCTTGGCCATAACAAGACAGAGGGTTCATGGACGGCCTCCTTGGCCATGACAGGACAGACTGTGAGTTCACTGATGACCTCCTTGGCCATAACAAGACAGAGGGTTCATGGACGGCCTCCTTGGCCATGACAGGACAGACAGCGAGTTCATGGATGGCCTCCTTGGCCAAAACAAGGCAGACTGTGAGTTCATGGATGGCCTCCTTGGCCGTGACTGTCAGGGTTCTGTCACTTCGGTCTAGTGTAATTCATAGTTTAGTGACAGAGCCCTGACACTCGCGTCATGTCATTGTTTTCATGTGAGCGTGCGGCTTCGAGTGTGCTCGAGCCGTGCGCTCTCGTCTGCGTGTACTGTTTCATGTTGGAGCGTGGTGTTCAGATCCCGGCATTCATGTCTTGAGTTTCGGTTTCGTGTCGGGGTCCGGACACTCGCGCTCCATGTTCTGTCTGTTGTGGGAGCGTGCGGTCTCGAGTTCGCTCGGCCGTGCGCTCTTCTGTCCACGTGTGTTGTGTTTTGTGTCGTTGTCTTGTGTGAACACGCGGCTTATGAGTTTTCTCATTAGCTGCGTGTTCGTGTCTTTTGTTCTAGCACATGGCTTGTGATTTGTTTTGCTGGCCATGTGCTTGTGTTTTGTTTTGTGTGAGCACATGGCTTTTTGTCTTTGATTCGGTGTGCCATGTGCTCATGTCAATTGTCTTGACCCCTCCCATCTTGTTACCTGATTATTAGTTAATTTGCCCCACATGTGGTCCCTCGTTACCCTCCTCATTTGCTCTCCATTTATTCTCCTTGTGTTTGCAGTCCTGTGTCGGTTCATTGTCATCTCTCCCTGGATGTGTCGTGTCGTGTCCAGATCCTGCCTTGCCTTGCCTTGCCAGCCTGTTTTTCCCCCACGGGGTAGTTTTTGTTGCTGTTTTGTTTATTTTTATTATCAATAAAAGCCTATTCTCTGCAGTCCTGAGTCCTCGCTCCATCCTCTACCCGAACCCTGACAGTGACAGGACAGACAGTGAGCTCATAAGTGGACGCTGCCACCTCTGGAGGTTCTGTGGCAGAAGCTACCACCTCTGGGGAAAACTCTTGGACAAGAGGGGCCTCTGGGGCAGACTCATGGACAGGACAGGCCTCTGGGGCAGACTCATGGACAGGAGGGGCCTCTGGGGCAGACTCATGGACAGGAGGGGCCTTTGAGGCAGACTCATGGACAGGACAGGCCTCTGGGGCAGACTCATGGACAGGAGAGCAGTGTGTAGCCCAGACATAAAAAATGGCAATCACCATCATGGGCAGTGCAGTAGACAGAGGGAGGTCCACCGGGCCAGAGAGTGTCAAGGCTGTGAGGCTTGGGAGCGTAGAGACCACTGGGATGCCATCCGCTCACACTGACATCAGAGGTGGGTCCATCACACTGGCAATCAATCTTGTCTGCCCTGGCCCAAGCGCCGTATCCACAGGAGCTTGGGTAATATAGCCCCACTCCCAAAACAAATCCTTGGGGGAAACTTGTATGACAGCCATGGCGTGACGAGTCTCTGGCGTGGCTGTCATGACAGGTCAAGAATCAGGTGTGACGGCCATCTTGGCCGGGGACTCGGGGCGTGGCGTCCCTCTTGTGCAGAGGCTGTGGACCAGCGGCCATCTTGTGCAGAGGCTCTGGGCTGAAAGGCATGACGTGAGCAGGATCTGGTGTGGCATGAATAAATCCTGACATGGCAGTCAGGGCATGGAAGCACTCTGGTGTGGTGGGTACTATAGGATTGCAGGGCTCCTCATCTGCAATTCCTACAGTAAATGAGGAACCACTCAACTGAAGTGCAAAATCAATATATTGAGCCAGAGTCCAGTGAGGGGTATGGCGAGGCATTAAATGAGAAATATTTTTGTTTAAACCAAAACAAAAAATGTCCTTGAGTGCTACATCATTAAAGTCCACCAAATGGCACAGACCACAGAAATCCTCCACATAATCCTCAATGGAGTGACTGCCTTGACAGAGATGCAAGAGGCGAACTGCTGGATCCATTCTTGGTCTGATGTTCTGTAACGTGTAGTCGAAAGAGACGAGGATCCAAATGCAGTAGAAAATATATTTATTTAAACAAACACAAAGTCAATCCAGGCATGGCAAGAAACAGGGCAAAGAATTTGCAAGAAACAAGGCAATGACATGGGCACACGTAACAGCCATTAAGGACAACATCAGACAAATAACCAGGCAAACACAGGGTTATAAATACACAGGTTAACAAACCAACAAGGGGAAGGAGTTAAATAATCACTATGACAACTAACAACCTAGGCAAAGGAACAGGACCTAAACACAGGGAGAGAACATAGGAACAATGGGAACAGAAAATACACTTAAACACAAAAGTCCTTGAGCACACAACAGGGTAAAACAAAACATGAATCTTAAGCTAGAAACAAAAACCAAGAACATGTTACATAGCCACGATAAACAACACTAATTTTAGCAGTTTATTACATTAAATTTCTATTTCTATTATTTTTCTCTCTCTGAAATTCAAAATCTGCCTCCTTGAGTAATTCATCCTTGCACTGATATGTTTTCCAAATGTTGTGACAGTACGCTATCTATACTTTAACATAAACCATGCTAATCAGAAAATCCTTCACAATTAATAGAAAACTGTCAATCATAATTAAACGTAAAGACGATTGAAACTATATTCTGGGGACCTTGATGACAGAAAGTTCCTCTTACTGCAGCACGAGTAACATTTGCAGAGCTCTTATACACACACAGACCGTAAACCCAGGAGTTTCGTTGGTTCTGCGGTTTGACAATACCGCTGTCTGAAAACCCCCACATAATGAATCACCACATGAAATGCATGAGAGGTAATGTTGAAATGAATGAAAGCAGGGCCATGGAATGGCATTCTGGCACTGACTGATCCACGTTTTTAGATTTGTGAACAATCAATGAAATGTAATGCCTCGGTCCAGAAATATTCCAGTCCATGCTTTCCAGTTGACCTACATACAGTGTTCGAACTATACCGTGGACTTTGGGGGAGCCCACTTGGTTTTTTTTTAATAACGGGATGGGGGGGCTTACAATGACTTACAAAGATACATAACAGCTACAAGTGTATGCACTACTTGCTTTATGCAAGCACTATATAGGATAAATCACTATACAGGATTTACCCTATTATACTTTATCGACACAAATTGAGAGATGAAACAACAAACAGCCACCCACAAATAGTCTAGAAACAAAGCATCAGGCTGTCTTTGAGTTCACATGAACAACTGTTAAAGTTACTCATTGTCAGGCTACAGAAGAATACCATAATTCCTCCGTTCAGTTAGGCCTAAGACATCGCAGACCAACCCAGCCACAACACATAATTGAGAATAACATACTTTACCTTCACACAGAATCGACCACAGAGTCCAGCGTTTATATTTTTTCTACGAATCTTTGAGTTAACATGTACTAAACATGAGTGGAATTTGCACCACAGCGCCCCACACCTTGATGCTCATGACAAGAACAGCACGTATAGTTATCTTTATTGAAGTGAATTAGGTTTAAATCGACGTCATGCATGAATGAATGATATTTTTGCAATTTTACACATAATAATTCACGATGATCACATTACACAAAATTTAAATTGCATGTCAAAATAACACAGTCAATATTTTTTGAGATAACAACAACTTTTTTTTGAAGATTTTTTGAACTTCACAAATCACGTTTTCAGGGGAGCCCATGTCTTATTAAGGGGAGCCGAGCTCCCCCTAGCTCCCCCGTAGTTCGCACCCTGCCTACATAAGGTGTCAAACCAATTTCTTGGTCCAGTTCAGGTGCGTGAATTGTCCTTGCTGTTTTTAAAGCATGGGTCTCTGTTCTCCAAACACTTCTTTTGACTTTCTTCATGTTTTTATTTTCCCAAGTGAATCGCTCCACTTTAATGATGATGAGAAAAGCGTGTGGTCCGGTAGAACATTATGCATGTTTCTAATTCACTCACAATCTCCTCTGTACAGAATTCATTATGACAAAGCCCAGGTGTGTCGAGAGACCAGCTTCTGTTTATTCAGATCTGGACCTGGACAATCAGTCACATCAACCCACTTCTGAGTGACTTCCTCACAAACTTCAGCTTCAATTGTTTTTAATTCTTCTGTTTTATGTGATCTTTAAACCTCTTTTCTCCCAGTATTGTGTTAACAGATGAGCTTTTCCCAGACCTCACTCTGCCCATCAGAAGAATCTGGATCACTGGATCATCTGGACTGGAGACAGAACATATGGAATATGAATGTAAAAATAAGGTAAAGTCAAGGCTATAGTTATTTCACAAGTTTAAGAGCAGAATAAAAGGCGGGTTCTCACCAGGAAGTGTTTCCGTTCTAGTCGCCATTTTCACTGAATCTGATCACAGCATAACAGAGCCCATGAAGATCTTATATTTGTAATGTATCATAATAACTAAAAAGCAACATATGTGCATAAAACACATTGCTGCGGGAAATATAATCTCTCCAGGAGTCGAGCTGCTGTTCAGAGTTGTTCAGTTTCACTTTCGGTTCCACGTGATGTAATTCTCTCCAATCACCACCTGATCCTTGTGCGATCATCCACACATCCAAAGTTGGCTGATAACACAACTGCAATAAAGTAATAGCCTAGTTAACAATTCCTTGTTTATCTGGCTGGACTGGGGTTAAAATTCGGCCTGGACAAATCCAGCCCATTCGGCCCACAAGCTCCCCCATGAATGTTGAGCTGGGTTATAGGAGTAATTGTTACTGGAATAAATAAATGAATAAATAAAACAGGACAGAAACAAATAATGACAGATATTACTGAATTCACGGCAAATGCAACAAACTTAATAATGCATTTTTTTGTCTGCAAATGCAAATTTACTGCTATTAAATTCTATGTCGTTCCAAACCTGTATGACTTACTTTCTTCTGTGGATCACAAAAGAAGATGTTTTGTAGAATGTTACCAACCCATTTTGGTTACCCTTGATTTCTATGGACAAAAAAATCTTGAATTTCTCAAATTATCTTCTTTTATGTTCTACAGAATAAAGAAATTCATACAGGGAATAACAATGGAATAACATGATGACAATGTACGTTTGTGGGTGAACTATCTCTTTAAGAACTTTAATATTTGTAAATAGTAAACACCTAGTTTATATAAGACACTTTTATTTATCTTTAATCAGGCTCTTATTGACTCAACATTTTACTTCAAAATCAAAATGAATTATAACTAAACATTTAAAGAGAAAGAAGCTATTATAGCTATGTTGTTAAATTATCCTTTGCCCTAATGAAATTTACTAGAGTTCTTGTTTAGAATGAGTTTCACTGACTAGTATTAGTAAGATGGTGGTCATAAAAAGTAAAAACATGGTCCTCATTACCATGGTTATATGGTTTTTAAAATAAACACAATAAGTAATAATAAACTATGGAATTTGTATTTTTTTTTAAAAACTAGTTATGTTGAAACTTCAAAACTTTTATAAAAGTAAAATATTCCCCAATATTTCATGAAAGAAATAACAGTAACGAATAGGCTGTAATAAAAACATTTCTACCAAAACACCATAGGCTATTTGTACAGTGTTAATAACAGCAAGTTAAATGACTATTCGGTGTGTGAAGCGCTCTTTCGCCACGACTGAATCCCATTAAAGATCAAGGGTTTTCAAAGTGTGATGCACGATTCTTTGAGTATCTCCATTTCTTTTACCCTTCATCAGTGAAGTCACATTCACCTGCTTCACATCAACCTGTGTTTTCTCCTCACAAACTTCAGCTTCATGTTTTTCACTATGAATCCATTTTCTCCCAGTACAGTGTTTCCAGATGAGCCAAAGCCAGAAGAATCCAGATCTCTGGATCATCTGGACTGGAGCTGATCGCTGACATGTCTGAAAGAATCAGAAAATATAGAGTATGAATGTAAAATACATCAAAGTCAAGTGTCATTACAGAATAAAACATTCATCTGCTTCAACACAATTAAAATGTCTCTTAACATCGTCTGTAAAAATATCCTTGTAGTGAATGTGTTCTGGATGGATCTGACATCTGAGCTTATAATGAGTTTATAATGTTTTTCAGAGGGGCCAAATGACACTTGAAAAACATGATCTCAAACTAAATAAACTCTTCACACTATGACAATCAAAAGTAATTAAATTGTTTCTTATAAACGTGTAAACGGCCAGTTTCTTACCAGAAAGTGATTCGGATCTCATCGCCATTTTCACTGAATCGAACCATGAAGATGGTTTCTAGAAAAACAAATACACCCAAAACATAATCTAAATAAAGCATATATTTGTAATGATTTATAATTGATAAAAATAAATATATTTAAATAAAACACAAAAGTGCAGGGAATATAATCTCACCAGGAGTCGAGCTGCTGTTCAGCTTTACTTTCAGCTTTACTTAAATCCTCTGCGCTGCAGTGACGTTATCATCATCATCATCATCACGTGGTTTGTAGAAGAGACAACTTCTTTCCTGACAAGCTATTGGTAATACTACATTCTTGTTTTTTTTTTTGGTTGAGCACAAGAATGAGCAACAGTTCATCAAACAAACATTAAAGGAATATAACAGAACTGAGAATAGGCTAAACTAATTTCAGTGTTTACAGCTCCAGCTCACTGAACACCAGAAACACACGTTATAATGCACAAAAACAGCAGACACGAGCAGAGAAACATTGCTAGTTTGTTCAATAAACATTTTTCATTCTCACTAATAATAATCCAATAATGGATATTTGGTGCCACCTGCCAGACACTCAGTGAACACTAGCTCTGTTCACTCCCTACATAGACAGCTTCTTTCTTCAGTGCTGACTATACAGGCAGATCAATTAAACATCCATCTTAACCTAACAACATTTTATGGTATTTAAGAATAATAATTTTAAATCATATAATTTGGTACAGATTTCCTTTTTATTATACCATCAGCTGCATTATATTTACACAGAATACAGAAACATTATCAATAAACCGAGTGAATGTGCTGAAATAATGAGAGTTAAGGAGGGTTGAGATGTTTCACTGATTTGAACACAAGAACAGGGCTCTTCTGATTCTCCCAGAGCAACTTGAAGACTGAAAATGAGTGTTGAGAAGCTCATAAAATCCTTTCATCATCGTGTCAAACATCACAGTGACATTCAGCCCTTAGTTTCAGTAAAAATCAAGAGATCTACAATGATCTAGTATAACTACATCTTATTGCATGTGCCCAAGATGTGGCCACATAAACCGGAAGAATCCGCCAGACTGAGAGTGATTATACTGTATGTCGGTCATTTGGACGGGGTTTTAGCACTTGTAGTTTTCCTCAATTGTCCTGTGGCTTTGCTTTGTCAAACTGCCGTCCTTTGACTGAATTAATCTCTGAATTTAATCTCAGCTTTTTTATTACTAAGAGCACCGAACAGCAGGACAGCCAGCAGAGGTGGAAAGAGTACTAAAATATTCTACTCAAGTAAAAGTACTATTACGTTTAATTAAATTTTACTTAAGTACAAGTAATATTACCAGTCTAAAAGTCTATTCAAGTAAAAGTTAAAAGTAGCTCATTTAAAAGTTACTTAGTTAAATTTTAACAGCAGGAGGTGGCAAAAAGGGGATATGAATCTCAAACTAGTTGTTTTTAATTAAAGGAACACCTTTACAAATTAAACTGCAATAACAAAATAAAACATGTTGACACATGACATTTAAAACATTTAGGGAGGTATGTGTCATTTTAATGCAGACCATCCCACTATAATAGGCAAAAAAAGCAAGTTATATTCTGGCTATCGACAAAACAAGCTAAGAACGGTTTATTAAATTTTTTTAATGGCTTTTTAAGGATTAAAAAAAATCAAGACTTCACATTGGTTATTTTAGTAGCATGAAAAACAAAACAATAATTATTAAAAATTACACAAAGAAAGCGAGCAAAGGACACTGAAGCGTCCATGACTTCAGTTTAATGTGAGCTAGAAATTCCCATAATCACTAAAGCAAATCAATCGCTATTATGACAAAGCCCAGGTGTGTCGAGAGACCAGCTTCTGTTTATTCAGATCTGGACCTGGACAATCAGTCACACCAACCCACTTCTGAGTGACTTCCTCACAAACTTCAGCTTCAATTGTTTTTAATTCTTCTGTTTTATGTGATCTTTAAACCTCTTTTCTCCCAGTATTGTGTTAACAGATGAGCTTTTCCCAGACCTCACTCTGCCCATCAGAAGAATCCGGATCACTGGATCATCTGGACTGGAGCTGCTGATTGCTGACTGAAAGTGATTGCTGACTGAAAGAGACAGAACATATGGAATATGAATGTAAAAATAAGGTAAAGTCAAGGCTATAGTTATTTCACAAGTTTAAGAGCAGAATAAAAGGCGGGTTCTCACCAGGAAGTGTTTCCGTTCTAGTCGCCATTTTCACTGAATCTGATCACAGCATAACAGAGCCCATGAAGATCTTATATTTGTAATGTATCATAATAACTAAAAAGCAACATATGTGCATAAAACACATTGCTGCGGGAAATATAATCTCTCCAGGAGTCGAGCTGCTGTTCAGAGTTGTTCAGTTTCACTTTCGGTTCCACGTGATGTAATTCTCTCCAATCACCACCTGATCCTTGTGCGATCATCCACACATCCAAAGTTGGCTGATAACACAACTGCAATAAAGTAATAGCCTAGTTAACAATTCCTTGTTTATCTGGCTGGACTGGGGTTAAAATTCGGCCTGGACAAATCCAGCCCATTCGGCCCACAAGCTCCCCCATGAATGTTGAGCTGGGTTATAGGAGTAATTGTTACTGGAATAAATAAATGAATAAATAAAACAGGACAGAAACAAATAATGACAGATATTACTGAATTCACGGCAAATGCAACAAACTTAATAATGCATTTTTTTGTCTGCAAATGCAAATTTACTGCTATTAAATTCTATGTCGTTCCAAACCTGTATGACTTACTTTCTTCTGTGGATCACAAAAGAAGATGTTTTGTAGAATGTTACCAACCCATTTTGGTTACCCTTGATTTCTATGGACAAAAAAATCTTGAATTTCTCAAATTATCTTCTTTTATGTTCTACAGAATAAAGAAATTCATACAGGGAATAACAATGGAATAACATGATGACAATGTACGTTTGTGGGTGAACTATCTCTTTAAGAACTTTAATATTTGTAAATAGTAAACACCTAGTTTATATAAGACACTTTTATTTATCTTTAATCAGGCTCTTATTGACTCAACATTTTACTTCAAAATCAAAATGAATTATAACTAAACATTTAAAGAGAAAGAAGCTATTATAGCTATGTTGTTAAATTATCCTTTGCCCTAATGAAATTTACTAGAGTTCTTGTTTAGAATGAGTTTCACTGACTAGTATTAGTAAGATGGTGGTCATAAAAAGTAAAAACATGGTCCTCATTACCATGGTTATATGGTTTTTAAAATAAACACAATAAGTAATAATAAACTATGGAATTTGTATTTTTTTTTAAAAACTAGTTATGTTGAAACTTCAAAACTTTTATAAAAGTAAAATATTCCCCAATATTTCATGAAAGAAATAACAGTAACGAATAGGCTGTAATAAAAACATTTCTACCAAAACACCATAGGCTATTTGTACAGTGTTAATAACAGCAAGTTAAATGACTATTCGGTGTGTGAAGCGCTCTTTCGCCACGACTGAATCCCATTAAAGATCAAGGGTTTTCAAAGTGTGATGCACGATTCTTTGAGTATCTCCATTTCTTTTACCCTTCATCAGTGAAGTCACATTCACCTGCTTCACATCAACCTGTGTTTTCTCCTCACAAACTTCAGCTTCATGTTTTTCACTATGAATCCATTTTCTCCCAGTACAGTGTTTCCAGATGAGCCAAAGCCAGAAGAATCCAGATCTCTGGATCATCTGGACTGGAGCTGATCGCTGACATGTCTGAAAGAATCAGAAAATATAGAGTATGAATGTAAAATACATCAAAGTCAAGTGTCATTACAGAATAAAACATTCATCTGCTTCAACACAATTAAAATGTCTCTTAACATCGTCTGTAAAAATATCCTTGTAGTGAATGTGTTCTGGATGGATCTGACATCTGAGCTTATAATGAGTTTATAATGTTTTTCAGAGGGGCCAAATGACACTTGAAAAACATGATCTCAAACTAAATAAACTCTTCACACTATGACAATCAAAAGTAATTAAATTGTTTCTTATAAACGTGTAAACGGCCAGTTTCTTACCAGAAAGTGATTCGGATCTCATCGCCATTTTCACTGAATCGAACCATGAAGATGGTTTCTAGAAAAACAAATACACCCAAAACATAATCTAAATAAAGCATATATTTGTAATGATTTATAATTGATAAAAATAAATATATTTAAATAAAACACAAAAGTGCAGGGAATATAATCTCACCAGGAGTCGAGCTGCTGTTCAGCTTTACTTTCAGCTTTACTTAAATCCTCTGCGCTGCAGTGACGTTATCATCGTCATCATCATCACTATCATCATCATCATCACGTGGTTTGTAGAAGAGACAACTTCTTTCCTGACAAGCTATTGGTAATACTACATTCTTGTTTTTTTTTTTGGTTGAGCACAAGAATGAGCAACAGTTCATCAAACAAACATTAAAGGAATATAACAGAACTGAGAATAGGCTAAACTAATTTCAGTGTTTACAGCTCCAGCTCACTGAACACCAGAAACACACGTTATAATGCACAAAAACAGCAGACACGAGCAGAGAAACATTGCTAGTTTGTTCAATAAACATTTTTCATTCTCACTAATAATAATCCAATAATGGATATTTGGTGCCACCTGCCAGACACTCAGTGAACACTAGCTCTGTTCACTCCCTACATAGACAGCTTCTTTCTTCAGTGCTGACTATACAGGCAGATCAATTAAACATCCATCTTAACCTAACAACATTTTATGGTATTTAAGAATAATAATTTTAAATCATATAATTTGGTACAGATTTCCTTTTTATTATACCATCAGCTGCATTATATTTACACAGAATACAGAAACATTATCAATAAACCGAGTGAATGTGCTGAAATAATGAGAGTTAAGGAGGGTTGAGATGTTTCACTGATTTGAACACAAGAACAGGGCTCTTCTGATTCTCCCAGAGCAACTTGAAGACTGAAAATGAGTGTTGAGAAGCTCATAAAATCCTTTCATCATCGTGTCAAACATCACAGTGACATTCAGCCCTTAGTTTCAGTAAAAATCAAGAGATCTACAATGATCTAGTATAACTACATCTTATTGCATGTGCCCAAGATGTGGCCACATAAACCGGAAGAATCCGCCAGACTGAGAGTGATTATACTGTATGTCGGTCATTTGGACGGGGTTTTAGCACTTGTAGTTTTCCTCAATTGTCCTGTGGCTTTGCTTTGTCAAACTGCCGTCCTTTGACTGAATTAATCTCTGAATTTAATCTCAGCTTTTTTATTACTAAGAGCACCGAACAGCAGGACAGCCAGCAGAGGTGGAAAGAGTACTAAAATATTCTACTCAAGTAAAAGTACTATTACGTTTAATTAAATTTTACTTAAGTACAAGTAATATTACCAGTCTAAAAGTCTATTCAAGTAAAAGTTAAAAGTAGCTCATTTAAAAGTTACTTAGTTAAATTTTAACAGCAGGAGGTGGCAAAAAGGGGATATGAATCTCAAACTAGTTGTTTTTAATTAAAGGAACACCTTTACAAATTAAACTGCAATAACAAAATAAAACATGTTGACACATGACATTTAAAACATTTAGGGAGGTATGTGTCATTTTAATGCAGACCATCCCACTATAATAGGCAAAAAAAGCAAGTTATATTCTGGCTATCGACAAAACAAGCTAAGAACGGTTTATTAAATTTTTTTAATGGCTTTTTAAGGATTAAAAAAAATCAAGACTTCACATTGGTTATTTTAGTAGCATGAAAAACAAAACAATAATTATTAAAAATTACACAAAGAAAGCGAGCAAAGGACACTGAAGCGTCCATGACTTCAGTTTAATGTGAGCTAGAAATTCCCATAATCACTAAAGCAAATCAATCGCTTACATTTATTTTGTACTTTGTTGTTTATTATTATGACAGAATTTGCGAATGCAGATACAGAATTCAGTCAGTGAGTGCGCACACTCCATAGTGACGAGTTAAAACGCATCTGATTGGACATTGCATTCATAAGCTCAACAGAATGGTGTGTGATTGGTTATAATGCTCAAAGCTGCAAACCGCGAGTAAAAGAAATCTGATGCAACATGAGCAGAACTACTCTAAAATGTAACACTTTTCATTCTTTACACTTAAATCGTGACCGCTGTAATAGCTACCCAGCAAATACAGTCGATGTGAGGATGTCGCCAGTTGGTCGTCATTTAGTCAGCGTGACATTACTTTATGGCAACATCATGAGAACGTCATGGTAACATTCCATTTTTCCACTTTCTCAATTTTTTTTAGAATCAAATCAAAACAAAAGCACTCTCTCACCTAATAGACATTCCTCATTTTCTTGAGTACTTAAACAAAAATTAGTACACCTAATGCTTTTTGGGACTTAAAATAGACTTAAATTATCAACATGCTTACGAAAATTTACAATGATTTTATTACAGTAAAAGTGTAGAAAGCTGTCACGTTGCACACATGAGGAACACGGGAACGAAGGAGCGAGGAGTAAATACATCAAAAGGGTTTTATTAACTAAAGGCTGGGGATCACAGGACTCGACACATCAGGAGAACAGAATGACGTTTAACAGCTGACAAAGAACAAGCACTAGAACACACTTTAAATACACAGGAACTGATGAGAGGAAGACAAGGGACACCTGGAGCTAAGGAGACAATAAACATTGGAAACACCTGGGACAAATGAACTTGATACACGAGAGACAGAAACAGGGTCACGGAACACATGGGGAGCAAAGACACACACAAAAGCTGGCCCAGAGTCTGACAAAACCATGTTATTTTTTTATTTTGGTGAATTGATTACAAATACCACGGCTAAACTATAGTGTACCAAAATCATTGTTAATTTGTGGTTACAGTGGTTTAACTACATTAACCATGTGTTTTTTTATTTGTAATATTATATTTAAACTTTTAATATTTTTTAGTTTCTTTCATTTCATTATATTCCAGCAAAATAACATTTATTGTGAATGTTGAGTACATTTTTCAATTGTGCATGTGTGTGTGTGTGTGTGAAAGTTATAAATCATCCTTTTGATAGCCTGTAGCATGTAATCGAAAGAGAAGAGGATCCAAATGCAGTAGAAAATATTTATTTAAACTAGAAAAAAAAACAAGAACACGATACATATTCCCTCCTCAAAACAGGCAGCTACCAGATGCCTAAAAAAATAACCCACCGAAAACAACAAAATCCAGGAGGGTGAAGGACTGGAGGTGGTCCAGGGGGAGGGATGGAGGGCCAGGCCCATGAAGTGGATGCGGACCTGGATCATGGCAGAGGACCAGGACTGAGGAGCAGTGGTGGGCCTGGATCGTGGGGCAGTGGCAGATCTGGCAGTGGAGCAGAGGTGGGGCTGGACCATAGAGCAATGGCAGACCTGGACCATGGAGCAGAGCTGGCGGAGCCGGGAGCCAAGGCGGAGCAGAAGACCACCAGGTCAGAGCAGGCGGAGCAGGAAGCCAAGGTGGAGCAGAAAACAATTTCAGTGGAGACGATGGCATAGGTTAACAACGGCCTCTCAACGGCCGTAACAGGAGAAGAAGAGAGTTCATGGATGGCTTTCTTGGTCATGATAGGGTGGACTGTGAGTTCACGGTTGGTTTCCATGGCCATGACAGGACAGAGAGTTCATGGACGGCCTCCTTGGCC